TCTGCTGCAAAGTAAAGATGATGAATGTAATGATCCAGGATTTTTTGTTTTTCTTGTCATAACCTTCTTTGGTCCGTAAGCTGCTTTGAGAGTAACCAAGTGGAGGGTGAAGGTACATGTTTCTGACAGCATCAGGGAGCCTGTTTGTGCCTGTTTCATTGAGGAAATTGTTCCAGAACAGCTGTCGTCCATGTGAAAATGCAAACCCTTGGGACCTGGCCAAGGTCAGCAAGCCCTGGGTCATTTGTTCTAGCAAAGCAGGCCAGTTTGCCCTTTAATTATCTCTCCTTTTCATTTGGTCACACCTCTTGCTCCATAGATTTACTTCCTGAGAAGTGCCCTGTGTCAAAGAGTTTTGTTGTGAATCCGAGGGAGGTATAATATTTTTGTCTTGGATTACTTAACTAGGTAACTGTTGAACTTTATAATCCATTTACCTGGCTGGATTGTGTTTTCTTCTTAGCTAGTAGTTTCTAGTTCTTAAAACGTACAGGATTCTTAAACTTCAAAGTAAGTGATGTTTCTGTGGTAATGCAGATATCACAGTGTGAAATGGTAAGTTGGTATGTGTTTGCTAAAAACAGGGTTGTGAAATCCCTGAACTTCAGAGAGTTTTCAGTGACTGGTCTCAGAATGGGAACTTCATTAGAAAGCCTGATAGGGTTTGCTCTTATTAATAAGCTATGCAAAACAGTAAGTAGAAACACAGAATAAAACATATGCCCATATGCTGGACGTGAAAAATGTTCTACAGTGGACATGATTTAGTAATAGAGAGAGAAAGGCAATGCTCTGTAAGCACTAAGTAAAGAAAACAGTGTAATGAAATTACTTCTTTGCCCTATAATGCTGTGTAGAAAGAAACAAACAGAAAAGATGCATCACTATAGCTGAAGGAACTGAATTGTCAGATTTTGGTTTCTATAAGGAAAAACCCAATTAAACTAAAGTGATCTTTAAAAGGTCACTTAGGAACAAGAAAAAAGCTTACTTATTCCAAAACTGGTTTTATACAAGAATTTTGAAAGTGTCGTGGATTGTAACTAAGGCTATAATTAGCCTTGAAAACCTTGGGACAGAAGTTTCTCAAGTAGATTGTGAAATTATTTCTAAAGGAATAAAAATGGCCAGAAGGACTGGCAATCTCTTTGAGACAGAAGCATCCCCTTGGCAGAGATAGCGGGAAGCAGAGATGGAAGGGACACTTCCTTTGATCTGTAGCTTCACACAGTAAGCCACAACACAAGAAGGAATAATTTGATAGATGATGTGTGCAGGTGTTTTTTAAAAAGGCAATAGATTTGCAAAATCTTCTTGGTCATCTAAAATGGTTAAAATAATTTGTTTCCATGCCATCAGAGGAGTGGCAGAGCAGCATGAAAGTGGGAGCATGTGGCTTGTAAGAGGAGGACAAGCTCTTACTGGGGTGTCAAGCTGTTAATTAGCACTGCCACAATATGAGACTGAGTTGCTTACTTTCCCTTAATAATTAACTTGTTAGAAATATGAAAACTTTTCCCCAGGTCTTGCAGCTGGGGAAAAGTGTGGTCTGTCACCTCCTTGGCTAGATGGACTTCAGTGCTTTCAGGCTGGTACCTCCTCTGCATTTCCTTGCACCTGCATTTTGGATGGAGCAAGCTCCAGCATTTTGGGGCATCCCTCCAGAAGCTGATGGAGGTGCTCTGTAGTTACAGTGAAGGAGCTTGGGGTGGAATTTGGCCTCTTGCTTTGTCAGCAGAGAAGGCCAAAGCTCTTCTGGCTCAGTTTCATTATGAACTCGGGAGACAGCCTCAGTTTGTTAACACGTGAAAAGCAGAAAAGCAAGCTCATTTCAGTGTACATCATCCGTGTTAGAACGGATTGACTTTTTCTCATTTAAAGTAAGTTTTGTATTGAGCCACAAGCTTCAATTAAAACTTGGGAAGTTCTAAGTCCCTAGAGGACATACTACTTATATCCATCCTGTGGATACAAGCAAATGAGGAACATCTTTCTCTAAATGTCTGCTTTCTAACCATTAAAAAAACATTTGACATAACCAAAAATACAAAAGAAAAAAGCCCCAAGCCCCAAAAGATACGGTTTTGTTTTAGTGTAAATTGGGGCATGGATTTGCTGCAAGAATAGTCCTTAATAATTCCTGAGAACCGTCATGCTGTGGAGATGGGGGTCTGTATTTTACTCACTACTGCTTGAAGTTGATTTGATACCATTGATGAGAGAGATGAAATAATGTATGCTAAAGTCATTTGGCTACCCTTGAAATCAAAGTGCTGGAAACAAAATCTAGCTGCAAATCAGTAGGCTGTCATTCTTCCAAAACATGTTATCCGAATGACTTTAACAGTTTTTGGGTCATATGCAAGGTTAAGAATCATCTTGCATGGTGCACTTTTTGATGATAAACCACGATTTTTAAAATTTTTTTATTGAAATGTTATAGTCAGCGGTATCGGTGTGGGAGTTTGATTTCTTCCTGCAAGGGAATTGCTGCTTCATATGAGCAATTGGCACAAGGTTTAGAAGGATAGATATGAAGCTTGCCAAGAAAAGTGTTTCTCATTTTTTATATAGAAAGTATCTAGTCTGTCTGTATGTAGAAGCTCCAAAACTGTTCCATTTTTAAACTTATTTGCAAGTGAGAGTACCTATTTTTGAGAAAAACTGGCTAGGGCCAATACAACTGTAAGTAGATAGCATTTTGGTGAGGGGCTGAAACAGGTTAAACATTAATGCTTTATTCTATCAAGCACGATTTGTGTAACATATAAATTGATATTTACTTAAATAGTGAACTCAGGATTTTTGATTTTAAAATGCCTTTTCTTTTCATGTAGTTTTTCAGGTTTGAGAAATCACTGACATGGAATGAGTCACGTAACCATGTTAACTATTCATTTTACCTAACCTCAGGCATGTTCCATCCTGAAGAAATGAATAACACTTGACAGTCGAGTGTGGATTGAATCCCCACGAAAAGTGTTATTGTGTTTACCAGTATTGGCTGTTATGTATAGATACACTGTCCAACTCACTGTGGAGTAAAACTTGGCAGTGTATATAGACCAAAGTAGCTTCAGAAAGAAATAAAAAACTGTATTCCTCAAAAGAAATTTGCAGGTATTTTTTTGATATGGAACCTGTATTTACTCAAATAATATTTCTGTAAAGTTCTTTCCAAACCAATTGTCACTTCATATTTTTGATGGGTTTAAATAGCGCCATTTACAAAGCTATTTAGAGGGCAGCTCACCCCCCATAATCAGTTACTGCTCATGCTAAATATTTTTTCCATTCACACTAATATTGTCGATTATCTCAGGAGACAGAGAATGTCGAAAGGGCTATAGAATAAGGTGGGAACTCATATGAGGTAAGTTACCCAATAAGGTAGCCTGTACTTTACCTATACTAGCAATAGGTAGTATAGTACCCATGGTAGTATAGGTAAAATTCCCCACATAGTTAAGTATAGGGAAGTACTGAAGAGCAGCAGAACCACACACCTAAAAAGACTTCTTTTAATTAAAACTTCGGAGTTTCTATGTCTTTAATACACGTGTTGATAAATTACCATATTTCAAATATAGATGTGACTAGTGAAAACCATATGTGCTGATTAAACTATAAATAACTGGATAGAGAAAACGAACCAGGATCAGAGGAGATATACATAGCTCAGATGGATTCATGTATGTAACTTGGATTTTGAGAGGTTGGGTATTCCTACTTATTATACAATAATCAGCCTGTAATGTAGATGGAAAGGGAGTGACTTTTTGATAATTGCAAGTGGCTTCATTTTGCTGATACCAGACAACAGACTGTCTCACTTTGTTGTTGGGGATTTCATTAGGTTTAGTCTAAACTTTAGGAGGCTAAAGGCTATTACATCCCATCTGTGCCTGTAGTCCTTCATATGTTTTAGTGCTTAGCTTCCTTACCTAGAATGTGATATGGTTTGGAAATGCTTGATGGCTTCTCCATCAGAGAAGGTTATGAAGTTGTCTTTTGTATTGTTAGTCAAAGCTAAAATTCAATTCACAGTAACAAGGAACAGAGTTCTCTCTGAGCTAAGCTCTTCTCAAGAGTTTGACCATGACTATTTTGTTAGACCATGGCAAATGGGCTAGCTAACAGGTTAGTGTAAACATTTTAATACATAATAAGGTGGTAATTAAATCAAGTTTTCTTTTTCAAAGTAGTAAACTCTCATTGCAAACATCTGTCTGATGTTTTTGGAATTCATTTTATTGACTGCTCTGTGTGATGTTCCTGATTTTAACAGCTGAATCAATGATCAATCGAGCAAACTATTTCCATTTATCTAGAGACTTTCTTTTAGCTGTGAGGCTCTGTTTGCAAAAGTCGAATGGTTATGGCACTTGCTTTGTTATAATTCTACACAGTGCCTCAAAATGGAACTTGCATGTTCAGGGCTGGATTTCAGAGTGGAAACCATAAGCTTCTTGCTTGTATAACCACATTCCAAGGTTAGTCTGAATAGCTGAGATAATGAATTTGGTCTTTGTGCATTCTTAAATAGATAGATAGTTTTTCACATATGTGATTTTTTTTGCTACAATTGGACGCTTTCCTTGGGAGCTGCCTAATTCCAGGCTGCACAGTTTCTGCTTTGTTCTCTGCCTTCGACAAGAATAACTTAACCAGATTTCAATATAGGAGTTGTGGGCTGCTAAAGGACATATTGTGTTACTGCTTAATGCTGTATAAGTTGATCAGTGGGTAATATAAAATCTATATTTTAGCTGTTTTATGATGAAAATATTATTTCAGCGGAATACATGATAAAGTCATTGAACAATGATCTCATTCTCAGAATGATGGCACAAGGTATTTTCCGTATACCAGAAATTAGTGGAGCTGCTCATTTTGTTTTTGCAGGCTTCAAAAATAATGCTATTTTTTGGCTTTTCTGAGCAGTTGTGCTTTTTTTTAAACTGAAAAAATATCTCTCTTTCTTTCTTTCTTTCTATTAGGACCAGCAGAGGTTCCCATGATGTCACCCAATGGATCCATTCCCCCTATTCATGTGCCTCCCGGTTATATCTCACAGGTATGCTTTTTGAAGATTTAAAGGTATACAAAAGCAATAGCATGAATCCATTTAGTCAGGTCTACTTGGTAGAAGTTTAATTTATAATTATAATGAAAACAGTAGTATACATTCTCATGTTATGCCTCTTTACTGACAGTACACATACATTTGCACAACTGAGCATACATGTGCACCTTAACACACTGATATGTATACCAGTTTTATTTATAACACTAGCAAAAGCTATGCATGTAGATTGAGCCTATATATGCAACTTCTTACCCTTCGTTAGGTGATTTAAGTTCTAGTGTGACAGCTGGAAGGGATAGGAGACCAGTGGAAGTGAGAGGAGCCACAGTAACTATAAAATATGCTGTTAATCCTCAGTATCTTCCCAGAAGAAATCCTGCAGGATATCCAGAACTGGGAGGGTTTGGTTTGTTTTCAAGAATAAATGTGATTTAATTATCTATTTATGGAAATAGTTTTTCACAAAGCTGTTAGGTTTTGGAACTCTTGAACATCTACTGCTTTTCTGTGTGCTCTTCCGTCTTCTTCAAATCTTAGACTCTTTCTGAAATAAGGAATAAAAGAAGAAAAAAAAAAAAAGGTTGATGTAAGGCAGTATAGCTGTCAACAATACGATAAATCCAGTACTCTAACCACTTTCTTTGAGACCTAGACTGGACTGAAAACTTCATTAAAAGTATATGAAGTATTTAAAACATCTGAACAGTATAAGAACTTTTGATACATATATTTTGGCATCTTATTAAGTAGAAAACAGATGATGTCCTGGAATCCCTTCCCCTTCCCAGGAAACATGTGAGCTTGTGTAATTCTGAAAAATTGTGGATGGCGTCATACTTAAATCCCACAAAATACTGCAATTGCTCTGTGGTATTTTAACTTTTGAACAGAGTGAAAACAAATACAGGGGACACTGTTAGCCACCCTAGGAGAGAGAGCAGGTTGGTGGGTGGTCTACTTCCTTGTGCTCCTCAAGCGTCCCAAGTTGGGTGGTTAGGGTATGCTTTGAGACCACATTTGCAGTGCTGCTTAATACTTAATGTTTAATACTGCTCGTGGGCTCACCTAATTTAATAAGCTGACCCATATCATGCAGAGGAATGTTCTTAAAGATTTATGCTTCCTTTGAAATAAATTTAACACCTTTTTATTATTAAAATGTTTATACTACTCAGCCACTGTATTGAGATGAGTGCTGGGGGTATAATTGGAATGCTTACAAACCAGAGTGATGAAAGTCTTCCAGTTGTATCTCTGTCTGGACGCAGTTCCTCTTCAATGCTTTTTGTGGGGTACCATTATATAATTCCACTAAAGCCTTTAAGTAGTTTCTTAACCAAAAAATCCCCAGCCAGAAGCCCTCTTCTGAAAAAATTTTTCTGACGAGCTAGAATATGTTGCAACATATTCAATTTACAACTTTTGTCTGTTGTAAAGTTTTAGGGGAAAAGCACTGTATTCAGTGTTTTTAGGCAGCAGAATATGTGTTCTGCTGTGTGGCAAGTGAGCCTCTTGCCTTTCAGACAACTTTGTATTAAATGGCATTTGAAAGTGTGTAGTGATCAAATTAGTTCTTACTGTAATAAACGTTTCTACCTTATTTGCTCTTGCTTTTGTCTACTGCCTCAAAGTTAAAATCTCTATGATAAACAATGAGAACAACTTAAATTCAGAATTGTAAGGGAAGGGCCATAAAGCAAATCAGTGCACTCAAAATACATTTGATTTTTGGGTTTGATTTGTCCCCGAAGTATATACCGAAGAATCACGCAGACAGCAGGTAGCCCTGTGGAGAAATAAAGGCATGATACCATTTTTACATTTTGTTATACGGGCTCCAAGCCTGTTGGAGCTGCAAATACTAGCCTTAAATATCACAGTAGTTTATGTGGTGATTGCAACCCTGAATTAAAATGATGCTTCATTACCTCTTTGTTATTGTGAAAGTGATCAGCAAAAAAATGTCAGACAGTTGGCTGTCCTGAAAGATCAGCCCCACTGGAAGCAGCAGCAGAATAGTTAAACTCTTATTTCTAGACTTCAAGGACCATATTAGTAGTTGTGACTAGAAGCTGGGTTTGTTGACGTTAAGATATTCCCAATGATGAGGCTTAGCCGGGGTGGGAAAAAATCCAGGGAAATAGTAGAAGACAAATACACGCCATCAGTTCAGATTTTTCATGCTATGGTTTTGCTTTCAAAGGCCAGTTGGATACAACCAGTTATTATACATTTCATTTTCAGCAGACAAACCTCTTTGTACCTCTGGCAGGTATGAACTACCAGATCAGAGATCATGTCTCTGCAATTCTTTGTTGGCTAATGGTTAGTTAAATACAAAAGAGAGAAAAAGTTCCTTGCCATGCTCTTGGTGAACAATACTGCTACTGTAAAAGTTGTAGAAAGTGGAGTGACTGTATTTAATGCATGTGACGTCAACAATTCAAACAAAATGTTGAATGTTGAAGGAGCAGCTCGTATGTTGTCAGGAGCTGGGCACAACCTGTTAATGCCCATTCCAGTTCCAAGCTGCAGACAGAGCTGCTTCCCTGCTATGTGAGTCCTATGGTGCAGGCTGAGAGCCCACCCTTTGCTGGGATGTCCACTGGAGGCTTCTAGAGCACTCTAGCTCCCTGGTGTTGGCATAATTTGAAGATTAAAGATCATGATTTGGATGCTAAGCTGTTATATTTGGGGACATCCTCATCAGTTGTTTTTACTTTTCACAGTGTATGTTTGGGAGGAGGGAAGGAGGATTTGGGGTGTTCTAATGAGCAGAACTAGAAAAATGGAAATGTCAAAAGCACATTGATGAACTTGTTTGCTGAAGGCTATTGGCCAAGGACTGCTCTCTCAAATCTGGAGCAGTTCCACTGGAGTTTGAGGAATTACTCGTGTAGTTGGACATGAAAATCTGGCATGAAACTCCACTTTTGATTTTATTGATTTTGGTTTTATTAATTTTGAGTTGTTAATATGTGATCTCTGTCACCGATATTTTAAGGCTAAAGGACTAATTTACTGCTTGGAGCATGAAGTATACATAGTGCTGATAAGACTCCTTTTGTCAGGAAGTAATGTTGGGGTCATACTACTGGACTATACAACTCAAGCTATGGTCCTGCAGTTCAGTATTCCTGTGTGAAGCACATAGCATTTGACAGAACTGAAGTATAACTTCTAGAATGAGGAAAGTGTTTAAATTACATTTAAAGTGGTAGAAAATGCATCATGTCCTCGGGAATCAGGATTTTGGTCTTCAGATGGAGGATGTATCTGAGAGAGGTGTTTTTCTCCCAAACTATGTTTGTCTAGCATAAGCTTTTAGCCACAAACTGGTTTCGTATGGCTTACTGCTGTCTGTGTGGTTTGTAGACTGCGATCAATCAAGTTATCCTTTTAACATGATGATCATCATAACGCTCTGAATACAAGGAAGGTCGTGCTCATCTCAAGCAAGCTATAAAGTGAGCATTGGTCCTGAAGATCTGTGTCATTCTAGATTTAAAATACCCACGATTCTTGCCAACATTTTAGATATTCAGCTCTCTAATTTCCAGTTTCAAGGTACGGATTTAATACTGGTGTTTGTACGTGACGGATGGCAAAGATAGTGGTGCAAACTTGCCAGGGCTGACGTGTTGAATTGGCATCCTTAAGAAATTAAGTGAATAAATAAAATGTTGACATCCAAGTTCCTTGAGGGTGAGCTCATTCTGTACTGTTTCTGGTACAGACTGATTTATGAATGAAGTTTCAAACCAGTTTACGTACTGGTTTTGGCCCATGCTCCAGATGTCCTTGCAGAATCTAGCACACTAAGTGAAATAAGAATTTTTTTACTTTTTATTTTGAAAGCAAGTGGGAAGTTAATTGCATAATACCGTATTATACCCATTTAGTAACTGTATGTTACAGAACCAGAGTGATTGTATTCCTTTAACTGGAAACTTACAAAATATAGGTACATTTTACCTGTGCAAAATTAATATGCCTGTGTAGTGTTAAATTTCAGTGGAGAAAAATGAGAAAACATGGAGTGGTGATGTACCTTGAATATGGGAATTATCTCTAGTTACACTGAGTTTTGATTGCTGCAGTGATACCCTTAATGTAAAGCAAATAACATTTAAAATGGTATTCTCAAAATGTGGCAACTGACAGGGGAGGCAATTTTATTGTTTATGAGTAGTGTTCACTAATATTCTCCTGAAAGATCATCTACCTACCTCACTCAGCAATTAAGCTCCCTAAAATATAAAAAAAAAAAAAGTACACTGAACTATGCTATAAAAATACTGTTATTGAGGCAGTGTGCTAGTTACACCTGCAAACACAAAAAGTAACAGCAAAAGATGGTTTACCTAGTAACTGTTTGTAAAACACAAAATAAAGGAAGTTTAGCTCTAGATGCCAAAGGACAGAAGATCTTTTCTGGAAATACAAACTGCTGAAATTAGTAATACCAATCCAGAGACCTCAACAGGGATTGGGGTTTCATTGCTGCTTGGCACTGAAGTAGAGACAGTTTACCAGACAGTGTGTTTCCTGATCTTAATGCCCAACGGTTTTAAGCAGATACAAAGAACTGCAGATTTCTTCTTTAAATAAAAAAAATTAACCTCTCTACAAATTTACTTTATTTACATTAATGGATTAAAACTAAATGCTCTATGTCTGATGAATTGAAAGTGTGTCATCTCTCCGAATGGCGCTACTACAATCTACCCATTGCAAGTTCTATAAATGAAGAGATATCTACAGACTTAACCCATGCTGGTTTTATAGTTATCTAATGCATATAATAAATGATACATTGTGTTGCAAATTTAATGGACTATTAAGGACCGAATAGCATATTTAAAGATTGTCTGTGCAGCTTCAGAAATTCATATATGTATCTAGAATTCCTAGTTTAGAAGGAAAATGCCCGATTGAATAGGGAAATGAAGTCTTAGGGTTTCCTGTGTTTCTGACTTCATTTGGAACATGGGCACATAAAGTAGCAGGAAAGCT